AGGCTAGAATTGTATGATGTATCTAATATACCTGACAAACAGGCCCTAGCTGATGTAATGATCATGCTCTGCATCCGCCCTGCTGAAATTAAAAACTTGCGCATATCTAATGGAGGTGTAACTGGATACGCAAAAAACCGAGGTCAACAGGATATTCCTAGAGCATTTAGATTACTAGAAAATGAGAAGCGGGTAAGGCAATTGCTTACATAGATTCAGAAAGCAATCGTCTCTGGGGTGTTAAGGGATCCAGGAAAGCCTGGATCTTCATACTTAAGTGCATTTCTAAAAAAAAGAATTTATTCCTAAACCTTATAAGCCACTACTTCCTAGCTCTTTACGTAAATTAGGAGCAGTGTTTGCAGTTGTAACGAGTGAGATTAGAAATCTATCAAAAGCTAATACTATTGCCAGCCAAGCCTTTCGACATTCGCCTGACAACTATACTACTTCATCTGATAGATATACTATAGTTAATTTTTGCAAAAGAGGGCAACCTTATGATCAGGCGGAGGTATTCGATTTCTTTGATGAAAACTGATTATATAGATGGGTTAGAGGGTGTGTTTATATAGTAAACCCCAGGATATCATTTATTAATTTATTTTTTCACTTAAGACAAGATATAGCGTATATAATATATCACGAAAATGGTAACTGAACAAAAACATTCATCTGATAGTACACCTAGTGAACAGGGAGTTATATACAGAAAATTAGCCCAGAAATTTGGGCTAGATGAGCAAAATGCAAAAGTGTATAGTGTGCTTTTCGGTGAAAATATGGTATTAAAGAAACAATTGGAAGCTTATCATTCCTAACCTAATACTTTAGAAAGGTGGGTAAAAAGATTGGAGAAAGATGTGTGATCCTTAAAAAACAAATTAAAAGGTCTAGACAAATGTGTGGATAGGGAGACTGTGTTGACTTAATACAGAAAATAGCTTTCTCGTCAAAGATCAAAAAATGTAAGGGTTTCTTCTATTCATCTGAGTCTTCCGAAGATTCTGATTCAGTTGAGAAAATTACTCATAAGCACCAAAGAAAAGTACGACGAAGAAAGGTTAAATGGTTTGTAGTAATAAATTAGTCAATTAGACTGAGTGATAATATACACTATTATTCTAGAACACCAGATTGCTCTCTAACGCTTGTAGATAGATTTATTTATTATTTTTGAATATTATATATCGTAATAAAAAATGATGATTATGAATTGTGTAGTCGAAGAAAATATCCCTATTGAGGCATCAATTGATACGTCCACTGATGTAAATTGCATTAGCTAAAAACATATTGGTGAATTAGGAATTACATATCACAGTGAAAGCAATAGCATTGTAACTTCAGATGCATCCTATTCCATATTAAGAAAGGTCAATCTGCATATTGGTTTTGAAGATGGCGAGAAGAGTATAAAAGCACACCCGTTGAATTTATGGTTCTTGGGTCAGATTGGCCAGGTCCTGATTTAACTTTAGGAGGTTCTTGATTCCGAAAAAGTGGTGCAACTTTGGATATATGCCATTCAAAACTATTATTAGATGATAATTTTGCGATCCCATTCAAAGAAGTAGACTATATTTCGACATTATCTGATAGTCAGATCTGAGCTATAGCTGATTTTCTCAACCAATAGTCCTGAGCAGTGATCATCAGTTCAGGAAGATTTTTTCTTATTGAAAGATATTCTAACCATATAAAAATGCATACAATTAATTTACTAGAACAACTTCCGCCAGAACTAATACCATTCATTCTAAAGTATCTTCCAGAATGGGACCTAAAAAATCTTCGCAGTATAAACAATTTATGGGAAAGAGAGGCGAATTATGTATTATCTGAGAGAATATAATTTTAAATGTGAGGATTGGCTCAGTATAATTATACGGTAAAGGAATTTTATTTGAAATTGAAAGAGTGCAATTTAAGTTATAACTACCCAGAATGGTTTCTTAAAAATCAATTTCTCAAAGGATTATCACCTGAGAATACGTTTAAAGTTCTTATAGATGGTTTACAGGTGCTTGCATTAGATGAGATAGTGGAAAGGCTTAGTTCAGAGCAATGATCTACCAGCTCGGCTAATTTATTTTTCGATTAAAAATATGGTAACTATAAAAACTAATCTATTATGAAAATAGATAGCCTGTTTTCTAAAGGAAATGATACACTTGATTGGCTGGATCAAACATTCCCTTCAACTTCACTAGCGTTAAAACCTGAAAAGGCTAAAGATAGCCTAGTACTAGTCCAAGATAACCAATTACTAAATGAATTTTTTGAGGCATTTAAGGAATATAAAGCATATACTTCATTATCAGGTCTGGATTTATGTAAAGCAGAAATGAAAAAAGGTTTCTTCAGAGGCCTCAATCAAGAGGCAAAGATCCAGTTTTCCCATATGGAACCTTCAGATTCTTTAGAAATGTTATGTAAAATTTTAAATAAATTGGATGTTCCACTTTATCTAAAATTGCAAATACTGATCAGATAATCTATTTTTTCATTTGAAAATACAACATATAATATAGACTATTTATAGCGCAATCAAGAATTTTTATTATACCAAAACTATTAGAACAGACTTTACATTTTTTAGCGATAAATAAATCTCTCTATTCCACTCTATATGTTTCCCGATTGTGGTACAGATATGGTATCCCTATCCTATGGAAGCGTATTGAGCTAAAGGGAAATGATCCAAAAGCAAAGAAATTTATAGAATTAGTATGTGGGAAGAAAAACCAATTTATAGCTCGAAACTAACCTATCTCAAAATTCCATACTATAATTCACTTTTAAGTAAGAAAATTGAAGGCATTGTAAGAACATGCCCAAATATAATTCATTTGAATTTCGAAAATTGTGTGGGTTTTAGTAATAGAGCATTAAATCAGCTTAAAGCATACCCCAATCTGAGATATCTTAATTTATGTCATAGTGGTATTATGGGTGATAAAGCTTTATGTAGAATGGTGGGATTATGTCGTAAAATAAAATATCTAAATATTTTTTTCTGCCAAGGCATTACTAATAGATCTTTAATCAAAATTGCAGAAAGTTGTCAAGCTTTACAAGAGTTTCATTTTGCTTGTACGCATTTGATTTCTGAAAGATTTATAAGTCATATCTTAAACTTATGCCTAAATTTACGAAGATTCAGTATTCTGGGTAGCTGTCGAAGAAAAAATAGATGTGATATATTAGTAGAAAAACATTTTACTTTAGAAAAACACCTTAATGTAGAGAAACATCTTAGTGTAGAGTATCTTGATTTTGGTAGGTGTGTTTACGTCGCTGAGACTTCAATTTGCAATACCATTCATTCCTGTCTAAATCTCCAATATCTCAATCTTAATTTTTGTGAAATTACTGATGTAATTATCAAAGAAATTTCTTGTTTGTGTCTTTATTTAAAACATCTTAATCTGGAGGGGTGTGTTAATATTACTAAAGAAGCCATAGATCAGCTAATTTCATTTAATCCAAATATTTATGTCGAGAATTTCATGAATTCTATGGATATGCGAGCTGAATTAGATCAAGAGATAAGAGGGCTATATAACACTCGGCATAGAGTTGGTAATATCCAGAATTCAGTTTTATCTCAGATATATCGTGACCTAATTCCAATTCATCTATAACTATACATTCACTGACTCAAGGTATTACAGTGAACTCTTGATATAACGAATTCTAGGATCTGGATATCAACTTCGTTATAAGCTTATAATGAATTTTTTAAAGAATTTAATTGGCTAGTTCACTATAGTAAAGGTAATTTTAATATATTTGATTTAAAAATTCACTATATCAAGGGTTCGCTATATCAAGGTTTGACTGTATTTCCACCTTAATGTCAAGAGTTGGTGATAGAATACTAGCCAATCAGGCAGAGTGGTACCATACTTTACCAATCCAGCTAGTTTGGAGTAATAATCATTAGTTCATAAGATTTTTTTGTTTAAAAATACAACATATAATAGATACTATCTATGGCACAGTCAAGCATTTTTATTATACCAGAACTATTAGAGCAGATTCTATATTTCTTAGCAGTGCTTTTAATCTATAGAAACACATCGAAATGACTTATACAGTTATCATTATTTTCTGGATGATTAATATTATTGTGTAAAGGATCGCTCACAACTGAAAAGATTTATGAAATTAGTATGTGGAAAACAAAAGCCAATTTATAGCTCAAATCTAATGCATCTTGAAATTACATACTACCATTCACTTTCAGATAAAAAAATCAAGGGTATTATACATTCGTATCCAAATATAATTTATTTAAATTTCAAGAGTAGTATGAGTTTTAGTGATAATGCATTAAATCTGATAGCAGAAGCATATCCTAATTTAAAATATCTCAATTTGTGGAATATTCAAGCAATAACTGATAAAGGTCTATGTGTAATTGCACAATCATATCGAAAATTAGAATTTCTGTACATATCTTATTGTAAAGATATTACCGATGAATCTTTGTTTGAAATCGCAGAAAATTGTCATCTTTTGCAAGAGTTTCATATTGCCGAAGCTCATTGTATTACAGATAAATCTATAAGTTACATCATAAACTCATGCCCAAATTTACAAAATCTTGATATTGCATATAGTAAGGAGGATATCAAAGATGCTAGTATGTTATTACAAAGATGTCTCAGCATAGAGTATCTTAACTTTAGTGGGGCTATGGCTTTGTGGAATGATGAATTGATTATAGCCATCATCAAAGGATTTCTGAATTTAAGATACTTAGAGATCGGTCATAATGATATTGGTGATGAGATTATTGAAGCGTTGGCTTATACATGTCATAATTTAGAGCATCTTGAACTAGATGGTTGTTCATTTGTCAGTGAACTATCAATTTGTAATGTTATACGTTTCTGCCCAAGACTCCAGCATCTCAAACTAGGATACTGTAATATTACCAGTACGACTATCAGAGAAATTGCTCACTCATTTCTCAATTTAAAATTTCTAGATTTGGATGGGTGTGAAAATATTAGCAAAAAAGCCATGCACTAACTAAATCCAAATATTCATATTGAAAATTTTGATGAAGAGTACTGCTCTGATTCAGAATCTTCTAGCTCTAGCCCTGGCTCTGGCTTTGGTTCTGAAACTGAATCAGATGATAAGGATGTCTATAGTAATAATGCGTCTCTTCCTGTGTTTATGGGTACGATTGATACTACAAATGATTTTATTTCTGAACTCCTTAATCAGAATGGTAATCATCAGCTCAGAAGAATTTGCTGATCTATGCACAGCGTCTGTCTCTTCATTTTTTCTTTGAGATTTTGAAAAATCCTGATAGCTATTCACCTTCCCTTGTACCTTTGGCACTGCAGAAAATAGCTACCCTGCTTGCTTACCTTATTAGCTTATCGAGATAGCTTTTCATTTTTCGAGCTGAATTTATAAGAAAAAAGGATCTTTGATCGAAGGGGATATTTTGCCGATTTTGAATACTAATATATAAAGTATAAAAAATAATTATCGTTTCAATATAGGCAATGCAATCTGAAATAGATTTATTGAGACAACAGATTATTAAGCTTGAAGCTGAAAATGCTGAAATCCCCTATCTTAGAAACAAGCTCTCAGTAACTAATGCTGAAATAGCTGAACTTAAATCCGGGAATGCTGAGTATGTCAAGCTTAAGGCTGAGTTTATAAATTCTATTAAAAAAGATTATACTGATTTTGAGGCCCATATAGTAAAATTAAAGCATCTTAGTTTGGAACAGCCAGATCGTCTTGAGAGTATTGAGGCTTTAATTATTGAGATCAAGGCTCAGAATACAAAAATAAATCAATTATAGAAGAATATGAAAAGGGACTGGAATGCAAGAAAATCACAAATTCCAGACTAAATGCATTCAGATAGCTAAAGAAATTCTTAATGAGGAACCTATGATTGAATATCGCCTCTCTTTCATGCAAGGATTAGAGCTTGATGCCTTCTTCCAAAATATCAAATTGCATTAGAGATGCAAGGGGCTAGCATCAGTTTCATAGCACTAGCTGGTATAAGGATGTCAAAAAACTCGAAGATATTGTTGATCGTGATCAGAAAAAAAGAACCTTATGTTAGCTTATTGGAATTTATCTTCTTGAAGTATGGTATGATGAGAATTCAGAAATCATGATTCCTCAGAAGATATATAAATTTAAAAAGTGTATTGATCAAAAACCCTTTAATCTTAATTAATCTTTATATAGCTTATATAACGACTTAACATCATATGGATAGTACTAATTGCATGTGACCTATATGATAAAATTGTGTTTTCAAAAAGGCGATGAGTAGAGGAAGTATTTACTAAATTGATCACTGCCTGGGAAATTTCGATAATTATAATTTTGCATTAGCTCAGCCATGGAACTCATCATGCCCTATTTGTGATGAAAATATGTGAATTATGAATTACACAGCGAATGGTATAGAAATGGAACAGAATATTGTCTTACCTGCAACAGTTCAAGCAATAAACTCAAGTTTGTGATTGTGACTTAGACCAGTTATGTGAGATCAATCACACCGCCTTCTCATAAATTCGAAGCCAAAAATCCCTATTTATCTTTTTCCCTTCGAGCAATATGAAGAAAAGGGGAAATAATCCAACAGTTATAGTGAAATAATTTTTCAAAAATTGGGATAGCTGTTTCTTTTTTTCGAATGAATATGAGAAAAAGGGCTGAATCGAGATCAGTAAATTAATAGATATTAGAGTTACCATATTTGTTCCATGTTTTGTGGCGATCGTAGCATCTGGAAGCGACGGTTTTGCAGTATTAGCATTACGCAAAATGATCTACGATTTGTTAATTAACTTCTAATCCATAATGTGACACAGTAAAATTTCCCAACTGCTAAAGCTATTCCGGCTTTCTGTGATCCAAATACTTCACACCTTAGCTTGTTTTGAAGCTCTCGGTATCCCGCATCTGGTCGAATTGGTTTGAAGTTTCTACAATAGCTGGAGTATGTTTCGTAGGCGAATGAAGTTTCAATACTCATATAGTACTAATAATACATTTTGGGATTCACTGGGTAGCTATGAAT